AAATTCTTCATGTTATGCTCGTTAATTCATATGCTTGAATGCTATTCCGAGTTCACCTTAGTCGGTAAACGAAAGTGAAGACAAATGATCCAGTTACACGATAGGCTATTCTAATCGGTTGTCCCAGCCCCGGCTAACTATATCAAGAAGTCTTGATAGGATGTAGGAAGTGTATTCTACAAGCACTAAGAAACTATGAGGTTCAAAAGCACACAAATCGAATTTATTTATACATGACAGAAAGAGTCACAAAAATAGCCTGCTAAAATAACACATCCACCAATGACAGTTAAGGATTTCTCGGGCGGGAAAGGTAGTCTCAAGGTCAATTGCTCAGCCCATGCGTGAAACCATCAAATCAAAAATTTAGGACCTTAATCAAGTGTGTTCTGGGGATGGAACTTCGCCAACACTTCATTACAGAGTAATTGAGATTATCGAATTTCATAGCAATCATCAACCACCTTTAGGAACCTGAGGAGCACTTCTTGACAGCCGTTTCGTCTTATGATATGGGACGACTCATTCACGACACATACTATGATGCTTTCACATTTCTAATGGTCGATTTATAATTTCAACGCAGTTCACACAGGAGACCCTTATTCTAGATGCTGTCCGTCATTAGGGCGTTCCTAAAATCTTATAAGAAAGAACATTCTCATTGGAATTCAAAGCTACACAATTCAGTCTCACACTGGAAATCATTATCATTGAGTTTCTTTGGCTGCGGACTGATTTCTTTTAAAGTTGTGATGAATAAATCGACTGATTACTGTGAGAAAAAATGACCGTTCACTGTTTGTCTAATCTTTCTATATATATATATATATATATATATATATACTACCGGTTCACCTGTCTTCCTGATATCAACTGGTACTTTTTCACCTTATACGTATAGTGAGTGACGTAATCTCTATTACAGTTATAACCGTTGGCTCATAACAAATGCTCATGTATATATATACTATCGAATCAAGCCTGATCATGATCTCATTGCAACAGTCTTGTTCACTTATAATCTGTCAGCCATATTTTCACAAATGCAGAATCTTTCTTTTAGGATATTCATCCAATATCCTAAGAGAATTATTGGTCAGTTCCTATTGGTTAATTCCTACTGGTCAATTTTATGATCGTCCTAGATATCAATGTCACGTACTCCAATGTTGTTTCTTATTGGTTGTCCTGACTATCAATGTCACTTCAAATGTTGTTTCCTATTGGTCGTTTTAACTGTCAATGTCACAGACTTTGACGCCGTTTCTTATTCGACCAAAATGTATAAATACGCATTATTTGTAACGTTTTATGACCAGGACCCGGTTCCGGTACCGGATTCCTAGACCGGGATCTCGATTCTCTTCTGGACTTGGACCTCGTACTTTCCGCATGCTTGTAGAATACAGGTTCTACTTCATATCAAGTATTTTCTTCTTATTTTCACTCAATATGGGGGTTGGGATAATCGGATTTGAGTAGCATGTCGTGTCACCGGATCCTCGTTCCTCGCTCTTGTTTTCCGACTAGGTAAACTCGTAATAGTTCAAGTATATCAAGTTGACGTGTTTACGTGCAGGCGTAACACTTTCATAATAAAAAATTCTCATCAGAACAAACGCATTATTTTACTGTAACTATTGGCATTCTTATTTTTTGTTTCTGATTGCACATATGCAGTTATAAATAATAAGTCAGTCAATCAATAAATCAATCGATCGATCAATCAATCAATAAATAATTCGTTCGACTTGATTACAGAGTTTCATTTGGAGTTGGTTTCGCATGTTTCATAAGCACATACACACACACATGGACAAGAAGAGGGATAAAGAGGTTGGTTTATTGTCAAACCGTGATGAAAAGTAAGGGAGAGAGAGAGAGAGAGAAGAGAGCAGTACAATGAAAATCATTTACAAAAAAGAAAAACAAAACGAATCATTTTTTTCACATTTGCTTCCAATGTGAAATGGAAAGATTGAAGAAAATCTCTTGTCAATTGTATGTGTCACATTTGATAGGTAGGTAGGTAGGTAGGTAGGTGCCTGCTCATAACGGGACGAAGCTGTTGGTGAAAAAAGGCAAGAGAAAGGTGGAGACAGAGTGCTGACAGTGTGTGTGTCTGTGTGTCTGTCTGTGTCTGTGTGTGTCTGAGTGATCATGAATGACATTCAACAATGCAAGAAATACTATTTGTATTCACTTGAATTTGAGATGGAGCAGTTTTGTTTGGATGATAATTACAGAAAAGATAACATGAAATAAAACCGACTATTTTAAAATTAAAAAAAAAACCACTCGGGAAAAAAATTTGAGAGAGACAGAAGAGAGCGAGAAAAATCGACAAATCAAAAAGGAAAAGGAAAAACGAAACGTTTGAACATTGAACAAACAAACACACACACATATATATATATGCAAATATGAAACGATAAATTTTGGTTTTTGTTTTGTTAGTTATCTGGTTAGAATGATGATCCAATGCGGTGTGCTGTTGTTTGAATTGAAGTACAATTGAAGTAGTAGAAACTGGGTACTGACTGCATTCTGTAATGAGCATTTACATACACCCATACACACTCGCACTCACACACACATGTAGACACGTAGACACGAAACCATGTGTACATGAGATAGAAATGTGGCTGTGTTTTCATTGTGAAAAAGTACACCATTGTCAAAACTTGTAGAACTCCTGATTGAAGAAGATTGTGTTATTATTTATTTAATGCGTGTTTTGTCACATCACAGGTTAATAAAAAAAAAATGAAGAAGTTGACGACTATTCACAGTTAAAAATCTATAAGATTAGAAAAAAAAGAAGAGAACAGAAATGAAAGGCATGAAATTATTTAGTGTACGTAGTCTAAAATAATAATAAACACTATAAGCAATAACCTACTGTGGTGGGAGAGGGCAAATCAGATTCCAACAGAGGAAGAAGTGTATAGGACACATAGTGTGAACGAAGTGGTCAACTTCGTTACAGCAAAAGCTCTCACTTGGAATCCTCCAGGTCAAAGGGAAAGAGGAAGATAGACATCAGAAGAATTAACAACGATTGGATAGAACTAGAAACGAAGGCTCAGGAAAGAGAGTAAGTACGTTGGAGAATGCTGATCGGCGGCATTCGCTCCATCGGGTGGTAGGTACCAGACGTAACTAAGTAAGGCTAAAATAATGTAGCGGAGAGTTATTACTCAAATGGATGCTTTCACATTTAGTGGAATAATCTAAATGTGAGTGGAGGATGATTGACTGAAAAAAAACAACGCTTGTTTAAAAATTTCCCTTTCTCTATGACATGATAAAAAAAACTTTTAATCGACTTTAAAAACAGACTAATAAAACTGGATAATGTATAAAACAGTGTAATGTGAGAAGCGGGTTTCATTCTGTTTCGCGAACTCATCTAACACTGAATGTACCTGTATCTATTTCCGAAATCGATTCAAACAACCAACACTCAAGGATTTTGATCTATGCGCGCTACTGTATTCAATCTATTTGACTTTTCAAATTGATGCTTGAATTTACTTTCGAAAAATCATCACTACAGTAGTAGTGTGGTACGAGCTACTTATAAGTAGTATATGACGTGAGTGTCAACGTAATGTCCGGCAGCAGAAGATGGGGGAAGATCAAGAAAGGAAGAGTGGGAACACAATGGAATTTGTATGAAACGCATGAATAGTTACAATGGATTGATGTTTTGCAACAGGAACAGTCCAGTTCGATATGATGAACTGATATTTTGCAAATTAACGATTTACGATATGGTTTTCCTATTTTACTGAGTAACTCTGTAATTTTCGTTAAATACAATCCGATTGCCCCACCTGTGTTCTCATTCACTATAGTGGTAGTAAGTAGATGAATTACTAGAAAGTAATCATTGAAATCATGAACCAGCCACTGTTAGAACACCACTGAAAACCTAGAAACACTTTGTCACACTCCACTTGAATGTGACAGCTAGTTAAGTTATCCACCAGAAAATAATGGATGGCGGATCGATCAAAGTCAAACATTAAACCGTAGGATGCTGACTCAATGGTCTAGGGCTGAGGGTTTAAAGTTCACATACAAGAGATCAAAAGTTCTAGGTTCCATTCCCTTGTGTGCCAGATCGTTGAATTCCCACTGTTCTGGAGTACCATACTAGATAGAACTGAACAGCTGCTTAATGCTTCTTCCAAGTTTTCAATAGTAATCGTACATCGCATGATAGATTCTAGGGATTTCTGAATTATTTAATCGAAATCATGAATCAATCAGTGTTAGATCACCACCATAAGAGGCCTGGAATCACTAGACGGCCATTTCGTGCTGATATGAGACTCATCAATAGCAGCGCTCATCCACGACTTCTGATTACTACTACCTTTGCTCACTAGCAACTAGCTCCGTAAGGGAGTCTCTCCAAGTTCTAGTGAGAAGTCATGACCAGCGGAGTTCAACCTTGTTCGGATGTGAAGCAGTGCTCACCAAAAACAGGGGATGAAGTTGTGCAAGATCGCTGATTGACCGAAGTAAGATATTACCACTGTCAGATACGTGCTCAGTATCACAGAGTTTAGGCTTTCGCGTGCAAGGTCGCAGGTCCTGGTTTCGAAACCCGTGATTAGTGGAAGTCGTGGATGATGCATACTGCTGAAGAGTTCCATACCAATACATAACGGCCGGTCAATGCTTCCAGGTTTTTTCTAATGGTAGTGGTCTAATATTGGTGTCAATTCATGATTTCAATGTAGTGAAGGAGAACACAGGTGGGGCAACCGGATTATCACTTCGGTCATTGTTCTTGCCCACTGGTCTGGAATGGGTACGGCATCTATCCAACGTGTAGCGTTTACTAGTTCCCGCTGTTGGGACACGGCGGCAGGCACACTCTCGACATATTGCGACGCCAACAACTGTGCCCCCGACTCTCCATCCATACTCGGCAGCGTACGGCGCAGCAACATCGTGAGCTCCACATCCAGCACCGACGGGTCACCATCAGCCGACAGCTTCGCCAACCGGAACCTCTGCGGCGCCTCCTCCCTGTCCACTGGGCTGTCGAACTCCGTCATCAGCCGCCCGATGACCGTCTCCCACGCCGTCTTTCCGGCGGCACCGTCCAGGCTGTCGTATACCGCTTATGCCTCACCTCCCCGCAGCGTCCCCAGCACCGCCAACTCCACCCTGGGCCCATTCACACCCACCAGCTCCACCGCGGCCTCATACTCCTACAGGAAGCTCCGCAAATCTCCGTCCTCCAACTCCTTCGGCCACAGGAGCTCCTTCCTTCGGGCAGGCAGCGACACCAAACGTACTTATAATAATAAAAATAATAATAATAATTAATTACAAAATCAACTCACTTTGAATATTAGTTCATCTTGTTTTATTCATTGATTTTTTACATTTTGATTGCTTCTTTTTATCCCTACTATCCGCATCTGCATCATCATCATCATCGTCCGCACCATCAACATCATCATTTTTATGTTGTAATATTGACGGTAATTTGATTTGTTTATCTTTTGTATTCAAATTCATTGGACAAGGTAGTTTATTTTGTAAATATTCATGTTGTTTTAATGATGTCGATGATGGCGGTGGCGGTGATGTGGTCGTCGTTGTTGTCGCCGCCGCCGCCGCCGCTGTTGTTTGTTGCGGCTGTTGTCCAATGGTCATTAAATTATTCACTGACAATTGATCATCTACACCACTGTTAGTTGATTCTTCTGAAAGTTTCGAAATTTCTTCATCATGCAATATGGTGGAATAATTATTGTTGTTACGATTTAATAATAATAATCCACTATTATTGTCATGATGATCATTAATAAGGTGTTTATGACATGTTGTACCACTACTACTAGTACCAATTAAATGACGACTACAATAATGTGGACATAATTTTACTGTTAGTTTTGATGATTGACACTCAGTACAACAACAACAAGTACCTGTATCAGTTGACGGTAAGAGATTACCGCTGACACTAGATGCATTATGTCCATGATGTCGTTTATGAAATGGTTGTAATGAGAATCTAGGTAAAATAAAACAAAATATAAGTATGTATATTACATTACGAGTAATAACTGTTGATTGAATCGTTTATGTTATCTTTTATATTAAACATATTCTAGTACTTACTTACCTACTTACTTACTTATGCTGTAGTGAAGGAGAACACAGGTGAGAGCAACCGATTTGTATTTAACGAAAATTACAGAGTTATTCAGTAAAATAGGAAAACCATATCGTAAATCGTTCATTTGCAAATCTTCAATCAATCATCAATCCATTGTCTGACATTTCACTGTTCATGCGTTTGTTTCATACAAATTCCATTGTGTTCCCACTCTTCTTCCTTTCTTGATCTTCCCCCATCTTCTGCTGCCAGACATTACGTTTACACTCACGCCATATACTACTTATAAGTAGCTCGCACCACAATGCCTGTTACCACCAACAGAGTATAGAACCACTGGCTAGCATTATTCAACTTACTTACTATAAACTAAGTCTTCTTTTTCAGTTCTATCCAATCGCTGTTTTTTATTCTCTTTTCATATCTGCCTCCAATTCATAGTAAAATGTGTTTTTCGGTCTTCCACTTTTCCTTTCTCATTGAGGATTCTAAGTGAGGACTTGTCTTATGATGCAGTTTGGTGCTTTTTTTAATGTATAACCTATCGACCTGTAGCGCCTTTTCTTGATTCCTTCCTGTGCAGGAATCTGGTTTGTTCTGTCGCATAGTAGGTTGTTGTTACTGATGGTATCTGGCCAACCGATTTTGAGAAATTTTGCGTAGATAACTGTTAATAAATACTTGTATCATCCAGATAATGGCTTTCGTGGTTCGCTAAATTTCCACCCCGTACGATAGAACTGTCTTGACATTCACTTGTATTGAACTATTAGGATATTCATCAAATATCTTAAAGAAATTATTTTGTAAGTCAAACTCTATTGGTCGATTCCTATTGGTCAATAGTTAAGGTCGTCCTAAACGATCATGTTCACATAGCGTCGTTATATGTTTCCTATTGGTTATATAATTCACAGTTGACCTAATTGTATAAATATGCATTGTCTGTAAAGTTTTAGGCTCCTTTTCCGGGTACTTGTAAACTACACTTTCTATGCCAATATCAACACTTTTTGATACTGTTAGTTGGGGCATTGGGACGCTGGGATTAGAATAGCGCCTATCGTGGATCAATGGATCACTTGTCTTAGCTCTTGTTTACCGACCGTAGGTGAACTCATAATAGCATTCAAGCATATCAATTTGATGAGTATAACATGAGAACATTCTGACATTTATCATTATTATATTGAATAAATTATTCCCTATTGTTTGCTAGTTATTTTGTTAATTTCGTTTACATTGTGTTACCATTCATTGTTACTGTGATAAAATAATTCATTTTATTTTAAAGAAACAATTCATTTTTCAATTACAGTTATGGAAATCATTATTGTTACACATGGAAATCATGAATCAATCATTGTTAGATCATCACCTTCAGGAACCCGTACGCAATGAACGGCCTAGATTGATCACAGAGTTAGACATCAACACCGTTGGATTCCAGCCCATTTTGGTCCAGCCAGGGCTTATGCATAACACGCGCATGATCGAAGGTCCCGGAGTAACAGGAGTTGTGGATACACACTGCCACCGATGAGACAGTCCCTGTCTTTGAGCGCTTCCAAGTTCCTATAGGTGGTGATCTATCAATCAAGTGATTCATGATTTCTATGTTTAACAATCAATTCAACTATTGTTGTTTGTTTTTTTTTCAACAAATAAATTCAATCAACCTACCGACGTTGTTTTCGTCCACCTCTACGTTTACTTATATGTGGATTATCTTTTCGCATCGCTTTAGTTTTATACAATTCAATTTGTGTATAAAGACGTTTCAGTTCACGCTACAATACAAGAAGAAGAAGAAGAAGAAGGAATGAATGAATGAATGAGTTATTGTTGAAATGACAAAAATTTACAAAAAATAAATAATTAAGTTCAAACTGTATCTACTATTGCATTAACTCTTGCTGTAGCCATCATCCTCAGGGGATACAGTCATTATCTCAAACCTGGATTAAAAGGAAGGAGGCTTAAGCATGAGGTTTGCAAACCTTATCTTGTAGAAAACATAACTGCGCGCCAAAAGAAATCTAACTCAGTCAGTCAGTCAGTCAGATGCAACGTAGAACTTTGTACGTAAGTACATCAGTTCATGTCGCCATACCACATCAGCACAGAGATGTAATTGTCAATTCAAATCCAATAGTAGTAGAGGTTGTAAAGGTATTAGAAATAATCGGAGAGGTTAGGATTAGAAGATATTATTCAAGAAGTATGATTCAGTGAGAAAAGTTTCGAAAGTCAAAACTAGAGGTGTTGAAGAATCGAGAAGATTAGGATTTGAGAGAACACAGAGAATAAATGTACCGGCGCCATCGCAAACGATTTTGAGCCATGTCATTCAAGGTCTCTAACCAATACTAATCGGGCCCAACGTTGCTTAACTTCGGTGATCGGACGAGAACCGGTGTTTTCAACGTGGTATGGTCGCCGACAAGAAGAATCATTTAAGTAACTATCAAAATAGTATGGGGTTTTTCGTCGTGTTATTTAAAGATATTTTGTAATAGACTTGTTAAACAGATGATGATGTTCTACACACACACTGAATACCAGTTTCAAAAAGCCAGTACACTGTTCAAAAATATCATTAATTTATAGTGTTATGGAGATCATTTGTCTATTATTGAAATCATTAGTAACTAGCTTCGTGAAGAAATTCTGAGAGTTCTAGTTGAAAAGTTGTGACCAATGGAGTTCAACCCTATCGGGTTTATGCTGTGAATTCGGTGAGATAGCGCGAAACCTTAGATTGATCAACATTAGACATTAATCCCGTTGGATGCCAGTCCACTGATCTAGAGATTAGGCCGAGTTTTAAACAACCACTGGATTAGTTATTCGAAATATGCATTACAGCGGGGAATTAATGAAATTATATATCAAACAGAGAACCAAAGAAAAGCGATAAACAATAATATGTTATTGCTTACAAGTACACAAGCAGTCTGCACTTAACGAGTCTTCAGTAGAAATAAATGATACGAATGGAATTTCAACTTTATCACCAAAGAGAGTAAGTAGTTGAGCGCGTAGACCACTTCACTTATCTGGAAAGTTTCATCGGTGCTGATGGCATAGTGGCGTGACGAAATCTCAGCACGGATACAGAAGGCTCGACTGGCTTTTACCAACTTGTGTCACTTATGGCGTAGGCGAGATATTTTCGTCTGTTAACAAAAGGATATCTCTGTTGATACTCTCGCAAAAATTGAAGAAAGGAGGAACAAGAAGGCAGCAATCAATGTCAGCCGAACAAGAGCAGAGAAAGTTAAGGCGCAAGCCGAGTATACAGAAGCAAACAGGGAAGTGAAGAAGAGCATCAGAGCTGACAAACGAAAATATGTGGAAGATCTAGCAATGACGGCGGAAAAGGCTGCAAGAGAAGGAAACATGAGACAATTGTACGAAACAACAAAGAAGCTCGCCGGGAACTATCGTAAACCAGAACGACCAGTGAAAAGCAAGGAAGGGAAAATAATCAGCAACACTGACGAACAGCGAAATAGGTGGGTGGAGCACTTTAAGGAACTATTGAATCGACCAGCTCCACTGAACACACCCAACATCGAAGCAGCATCCAAGGACCTCCCAATTAATATTGGCGCACCTACGATTGAGGAGATCAGTATAGCCATCAGACAAATCAAGAGCGGCAAAGCAGCAGGACCAGACAGCATTCCAGCAGAGGCAATGAAAGCAGATGTGGAAGCAACTGTGAAAATATTTCACATTCTCTTCAAGAAGATTTGGGATGAGGAACAAGTACCATCAGATTGGAAAGAAGGATACCTCATCAAAATACCAAAGAAAGGCGATCTCAGCAAGTGTGAGAACTACAGAGGCATCACTCTTCTTTCAATACCAGGCAAAGTCTTCAACAGAGTATTGTTAAACAGAATGAAGGACTTCGTAGACGCCCAACTTCGAGATCAACAGGCCGGATTTCGTAAGGATCGATCATGTACTGACCAAATTGCTACATTACGGATCATTGTGGAACAATCAATTGAATGGAACTCACCACTCTACATCAACTTCATCGACTACGAGAAAGCATTTGATAGCGTGGATAGGAAAACACTGTGGAGGCTTCTTCGACACTACGGTGTGCCTGAGAAAATAGTCAACATCATACGGAATTCTTATGATGGATTCAACTGCAAAATCGTGCACGGAGGTCAGCTGACAAACTCGTTTGAGGTGAAGACCGGTGTCAGGCAAGGCTGCTTGCTCTCACCCTTTCTCTTTCTCCTGGTCATCGACTGGATTATGAAGACGTCAACATCTGGAGGGAAGCACGGTATCAACTGGACAGTTAGGATTCAGCTGGACGATCTGGACTTCGCAGATGAACTGGCTCTTCTATCGCACACTCAACAACAAATGCAAGAGAAGACGACCAGTGTAGCAGCAGCCTCTGCAGCAGTAGGTCTCAACATACATAGAGGAAAAAGCAAAATTCTCCGATGCAACACAACATGCACCAACCGAATCACGCTTGATGGAGATACCTTGGAGGACGTTAACACCTTCACATATCTTGGCAGCATCATCGACGAGAAAGGTGGATCTGATGCGGATGTGAGGACGCGGATTGGCAAAGCGAGGGCTGCATTTCTACAGATGAAAAATATCTGGAACTCCAAACAACTTTCAACAAAAACCAAAATCACGATTTTCAATACAAATGTGAAGACAGTTCTACTGTATGGAGCGGAAACATGGAGAACTACCAAAGCCATCATTCAGAGGATACAAGTGTTTATTAACAGTTGTCTACGCAAAATACTTCGTATTCGTTGGCCAGACACCATCAGCAACAACGAACTGTGGGAGAGAACAAACCAGATTCCAGTGGAGGAGGAAATCAGGAAGAAGCGGTGGAAGTGGATAGGACATACACTACGAAAAGCACCCAACTGCGTCATAAGACAAGCCCTCACATGGAACCCTCAAGGCAAAAGGAAAAGAGGAAGGCCCAAGGAACACACTACGCCGAGAAATAGAGAAAGATATGAGAGGAATGAACAAACGTTGGACAGAACTGGAGAGGGAAGCCCAGGACAGAGTTGGTTGGAGAAAACTGGTGGGCGGCCTATGCTCCATTGGGGGTAACAGGCGTAAGTAAGTAAGTAAGTAACAAAAGGATGAGTTTACTGAGCAGCAGTTCGCTCCGTCCTATTTTATGGCTGTGAAACATGGCCGGTCAGAGTAGAAGATATTCGTAGGTTACTGGCTTTCGATCATAGACAGACGTCTTAGAAGCATTTCCCATTTATCCTGGCACCATTGATTAAGCAATGCTGCGCTTAAAAAAAGAGTATCACTGACTGCCCCGACAAGCTATGTTTTGTAGTGTAGGAGTAGGTTGGAAGAAAGTTAGGGGCGGCCAAACTAAAACATGGCAAAAATCCATGAAGTCACTGACAAGTGCACTGAGTCATGTCGGCAGTTGTCGACTACCTGGTTGGGGTCCGCGAGATGATAGTAATCTGTGTTTAGAGACCACTTTGAATGACATGGCACAACAATGGAATAGGTGCATCCATTCTATGTCTTCTCACAAATCCTAATCTTCTAAAATTCTTCGTCACCCCTATCTTTCTCTTGTTAAATTTACTTAACTGGATTATACTCTTTGAATCACATCTTCGAATCCTAATCTCTCCGATTACTTGTAAAACTTATACTACCTCTACTAATATGGGATTTGAATTGACAATTGCGTCTCTGTGCAACTGTGTTATGGCGATACGGACTGATTGATATATGTACGTACTAAAATCAACGTTGTACCTTAACTAACTGACTGACTAATTGATCTTTCTATAAACCGCACATCAAAATCCCTTCAAAAACAATGAAGTCAATCACTCACTGTTTTTATTATACTTAACCAGAGTATAACGAAAGTACATGAGCTCCTTATGACTGTTAGGATATTCATCCAATATCCTAAGAGAATTATTGGTCAAATCCTATTGGCCGATTTCTATTGGTCAAAATTATGTTCGTTATAACTGACAAAGTCAAATACTTCAATGTTGTTTCTTATTGGTTGTCCTGACTGTCAATGTCATTTCAAATGTTACTTCCTATTGGTCGTCTTAACTGTCAATGCCACAGAATTCGATGCTGTTTCCTATTCGACCAGAATGTATAAATACGCATTATCTTTAACATTTTATGACCACGACCAGGACCAGGGCTCGGTCCCGGATCCCTAGTCCGGGATCCGGATTCTCTTCTCGATTTGGACCTCGTGCTTTCTGGATGCTTGTAGAACACACGTTCTACTTCATATCATGTCTTCTTATTTTAACTAAATATGGGTGTTGTAATAATCGGATTTGAGTAACATGTCGCGTCACCGGATCCTCGCTCTCGTTTCCGACTAGGTAAACTCGTAATGGTTCAAGTATATCAAGTTGACGTGTTTACGTGCAGGCGTAACAATGAATATCTTCATTTGTCTGACATATGATCTACGTCAAAATCGATCAAATTGTTGAAACTTACAATGTAGAATTCGAACAAGAAAAAAAATCGGTATAAAATGATAATTTGTTAATTTAGCAAGTATCAAATTCCACTTTATAAATAAGAATAGTTCTTCTGTAGTGAAGGAGAACATAGGTGAGGGTAACCGAATAGTATTTATCGAAAATCACAGAGTTACTCAGTAAAATAGGAAAACCATATCGTAAACGGTTAGTTTGCAAATCTTCAATCCATCATCAATCCATTGTCCGACATTTCACTTATTCATGCATTTCATACAAATTCCATTGTGTTCCCACTCTTCCTTTCTTGATCTTCCCCCATCTTCTGCTGCCAGACATTACGTTGACACTCACGTCATATACTACTTATAAGTGGCGCGCAACACACTTCCATTATTGTTTTAGTAAAAAAAGTGATAATCACATTTTTCCTAATTGAAATTCAAAAACAAAAAGAATTCAACAACACTAGACTAACCCTGATTACTTCCGGATCCATATCGGCTAAATTCACATCAGCAATATCTAAATCACCATTTGAGACTAAATTCAATTTCCCACCACCAGTAGGTAGTAAATGTGGATCTCCTGGATAAGCAACACCAGGTGAACCACGTTGTCGATTTGTTGTATTACAGAAAGTTTTCGATGAACGACATAAAAATGTTACCTTAAATTAAGGAAATAAAAAGTGAATTGAAAAATGGAAAAAAACAATTTAAAAATTATTGTTATCTGAAAAAATGTTTGATCATTTTTCGTTTAGAGTTATAGAAATTAGTGTAGTTCAACCAACCTTGTTGTGAGTAGGCAATAACTACTAAAGACAAATGGATGAGGTCACGGAAAATCTCTAGATTGATCAGAGTTTTAATATTAAAACACGGTTGGATGGATGCAAGCTAGGTCGGTGGTCCAGAGGTTAAGCGTTCGTGTGCAAGACCGGAGGTTCTGGTTTTGAACCCTGTGAGGTGGAGGAGTCGTGGATGCGCACTGCCACTGATGAGCCCTATACTATGACGAAACGGCCGTCCTTCAATGCTTACACGTTTCTAATGGTGGTCTAACAATGATTGATTCCCTGATTTCGATGTATATATAATTTTATTATTGCAAAGTTTAATTCAAATGATTTATTCCAAATAATTCTCAGTGAAATCAATTCAATTCAATGAACGAGAACACAGGTGGGGCAACCGGATTGCATTTAACGAAAATTACAGAGTTACTCATTAAAATCGGAAAACCATATTGTAAATCGTTCATTTACAAAATATCAGTTCATCATATAGAACTGGACTGTTCCTGTTGCAAAACATCAATCCATTGTCACTATTCATGCGTTTCATACAAATTCCATTGTGTTCTAATTCTTCCTTTCTTGATCTTCCTCCATCTTCTGCTGCCAGACATTACGATGACACTCAGGTCATATACTACTTATAAGTAGCTCGCACCACACACATATTCTTGAAATTATGGATCGATCAATGTTAGACAACCATTATTATAAACCTGTAAGCACGGGATGGCCGTTTATAACTACTATGGGACTTGTCAGCATTGCATATTCACGACTCCCGTACACAGGGATAGAAACAATTAGCTTCTCGATCTTGCACCGAATACTTGACTTCTTAACCATTCTGTACAGGCATCTAACAGTGTCAATGTTTAACTTGAATGAATCCACGATGTTGTTGTGCTACCGTCATAATTTGAATTTACAGAAAGCTAGCTTCAGGTACACTCATCTTTTATTGTAGTTGGAAAAGCTTTGTTTATTTAATTTCTATGGAGAACTTTCTAGTGACTGGGTTTTAGATTCCATTTCGAACTTATTGCTTTAGTGGCTGCGTTGAACTTGAAGTAGGGCTCAGCATTTTATTAGTTTGCAATGACTCGGATATTTACAATAATCGAGTTTGTGATGAAGTAAATCTTCCCTTTGGCAGCAATAAGTAGTCAAATACAGATTTGGTTGGATGAATTTACTTCAAGCAACCGTTCATGTAGACAGACAGGAGAATACATAGCTTGAAAGCAAAGCGAAGCGAAATGGAAAAGGCCAGCAAGCCACCTCAATGTAATGAGGTATGACTAGTTATTTATAGTCTATTGAGGCACAGTTTTGGAGGTTTGCGTTTTTACACATTTGAAATCATTAATCAATCATCATTGTTAGACCACCATTAGAAACCTGGAAGCACTGGACGGCCGTTTCGTCCCAGTATGGGACTCCTCAGCAGTGCGCATCCACGACTCCTGCTACTCGCAGGATTCGAAACCGGGACCTTTGACATTGTAGGCGAACGCCTTACCATCGGACCACTGGGCCGGCATCCAACGGTGTTAATGTCTAACTCTGATTGACCTAGGGATTTTGCGCGACCTCACCCATTTGTCTTTGGTAGTAGTTACTGCCTACACCCGACAGGGTTGAACTCCAATGGTCACGTCTTCTCAACTAGAACTCCGAGAAGATTCCTCACGAAGCTAGTCACTAATGAGCACTGTTACGATATATTGAGGCACAGTTTTGGAGGTTTGAGTTTTTACACATTTGAAATCATTAATCAATCATCATGGATGCGCACTGCTGAGGAGTCCCATACTAGGACGAAACGGCTGTCTTTCAGTGCTTCCAGGTTTCTAATGGTGGTCTAACAATGAATAGTTAGGCAAGGTCCAAAGACAGTACAAGTCCTATGTGTGTAAGATACATTTCTGAAGGCTTTGCTTGTGAAAATCCCTCAATGTATTATACATTTGTAATATGTCATTAATAATTCCTTCAGCAGTACATTTTGTTAATCTGTTCAATTCTATTTCTGAGATGATAATATTTGTATTTTATTATCATAGTTTCTATTTCTTTTTAGCCATCACTGAGTTTCTTCTATGTTTCTTTCTGAACTACATTTATCTTGTTTAAGTCGATACTTAGTCATGGCGAGATAGACGTATTGATTTGTTCCTCTTTTGATTGTGTCGGTTGCTTGTATTGACTGGAAGTGTGCATTTTGATTGTGAATTGAAGCACCCTTCCAGAATAGGAAACACTCTGTGTTATAAAGCAACCAAATATTATCTGTCGAACGAATCTGATCTATCCACAAGCGATAGAATATCATTTATATGCTGTGGATTTGATGAACTGAACAATTGTTGAAGGAATAACCGAGTGGTAGTATTGTTTATAACCGTCATTTGCCCAAATCACTTTGTGTTTTGTTTTTAAACTAACTGCCCAGACAGTTATTCCTCAGTCCAATACATCAGTTTAAATCCTACACTGTTGACTCAACATAGAAGTACTATGTACTACACAAGTGGGTTTACATTGAGTCATCACAACATATCAGAAATAGTTTTCTTTTCTTTTCTACTCATTGTGATACTTCAAACATATGTATGATTATTAACATTTTATTGTTACTATTACTAATTTAAAGAATTAATCTTAGAAAAAACTTTGCGATGGTGGAGAAAACTTGTAGCTCAGGTGGATGATTGTGGTGGTGTTTGGTTCTCTGAGCTGGTTGTTTTGGTTGTGGAGCTTTCATTGTTCTTCTGAACAACATCATCAGCACAAACTCTAGATAGAAGTGAAGCATTCGAATTTCTTCACGTTCGACCTGTAGCTTGTTCTGCTAACCTCGATCTTGATTGGTTGCTGTTGACCTTTGACCTGTCGTCGTTTGCAACTTTGTTTTGATTGCATCCCACTTTTGATCTGTTTCTTGACCCTTTGTCACCTATGATTTTCCTGACATAGGATCAAGAAACAGATCAAAAGTGGGATGCAATCAAAACAAAGGTGCAAACAACAACAGATCGAAATACAACAGCAACCAATCAAGATCGAGGTTAGCAGAACAAGCTGCAGGTCAAACGTGAAGAAATTCGAATGCTTCACTTCTATCTGAAGTTTGTGCTGATGATGTTGTTCAGAAGAACAATGAAAGCTCCACAACCAAAACAACCAGCTCACAGAACCAAACACCACCACAGAAAAAACTTTCTTTACAAATATTCTTCAATTTGAAACAAAGAAATTTGTTATTCTAAATAACCTACCTTTGGTACAAATATTAATAACAGATTCACTGTTACAGTGATATGAGATCGTGCAAAATATAGAAGAAATATATAATCAGGATGAACACTGTACCAAATGAAATGTCTACAAATTAGTGAGGAAAAAAAAAGCATAAATAAGTTTTTTTAAAAATACACTAATTCAATAAAGTTTTCTGATGAATTTCAATCAATCAATGATTACTTACGTATGCCTGTTACCATTACTTGGGCACCATTAGGGGCTGCCAACCAGCATCCCCTAACCAAACACCCTGTTCTTCCACTCTCCTTTTCAGTTTTGCCCAGTTGCGATTCATTAGTTTCATGACTCTATCCAATTTAAGGTCCAATGTGTTCCTTGGTCTGCTTCTTTTCTTGTGACCTTTAGCATTCCAAGTGAGGGCTTGTCTCGTGATGTGTAGCTGAGTGCTTTCTATAGTGTGTGTCCTATTCACGTCCAACGCTTTGCCTAATTTTTTCTTCAGACGCAAGCTGGTTTTTTCTCTTCCCACATTAGATTGTTGCTGATGCTATTTGGCCAATAGATCACCAATATCTTGCGTACACAACAGTAAATAATTACGTAGATCTTTTGGATGATAAATTCGGTAGTTCTCCAAGTTTCCGTTCCATACAGTAATACTGTTTTGACATTTGTATTAAAAATTATGACTTTTGTGTTAGTGGGTAATTTGTTTTTGAGTTTCAGATGTTCTTGAGTTGTAGAGATGCAGCATTTACTCTGCTTATCCGTCCATTCATATCTGCATTAGGTATAGTTCGTTCAGTAGTACACAGTCACAAGTTCATCACAAATCAAACTGACCGATTTTTTAGGGATGTACTTGATATTTACATTACTAGATCAATGAATTTCGTTAATTAAGCAATCAATGCACACCTTCTATGCGGAAACTTGGAGAACCACCAAAGTCATCATCCAAAAGATACAAGTGTCTATTAACAAGATAAGATACTAAGGATCCGTTAGCCAGATGCCATCAGCAGAAGCATGCAGTGGGAGATAACAAAATCGATTCTGGATGAAGAAGAAATTTTGGAAAAGCGCTGGAGGTGGATGGAACATACATTATAGGAAGCAACCAACTACATCACGAGATAGGTCATAACTTGAAATCCTTAAGGCCGAAGGAAAAAGAAGTAGACCACGGAACTAATTTGACTTTCAATTGGATAGAGACATGATAAGAATCAATACTGTTTGGATATAAATGGGAAGGAAAACCCAAGGCAGAATCGTTTCGTCTCAGTATAGGACTTATCACCAGTGAACAACACCCCAAAAACTGGAATCGAACCCATTATCTTCAGGTTTGTGACTGAATGCATAACCTCTCGACTAATGAATCGGCAGCGAACTTTATTAAATCCCATCCATTATCTTCGGTTGATAAACGCCTCACATATGACTAGGATTAAACTCCACTGGTCACAGCTTCTCACTAGAACTCCGAGAATTTCCTCACGAACCTAGTCGCTAGTGAGTTGGTAATAATCATCATTATAGGGTCAACAGTTACAAGACCAAAGTTACTTGGTTCGATTTGCGTGTGCGGAGTCTGTGGATGCGCACCACTGATAGGACTCAAACTAGGACAGAAGGGTGGTCCGGTATTTCCAGGTTTCTAACTATGGTCTAACATTGATCGATTCATGACTTCAATAAATTTCAAAAATCTCCAAAACCCGATAATTAAAAGTTTATCATTGATAAGAATATACTTTAAGTTTGATTGTTGATTACAGTTCATTTGAAGTTCAGTTTGAAATAAACCAGTTCGATTTCACTGCTTACAAAAAGATCAAATTAACTTTTATTTTGGTGACGTGAACTTTCATTTGCTTTCACGTATTTTTTAACAACATCAAGTGACTACTAATGAGTAAGCATCTGTTGAACAACAAAAAAATAAACGCTTTCATCCTAAAACTAAACTCTGCAGTTCACTTTACAAGTTATACTGATTCACTGAACAGGATTTTAAATTTATTTTGATTAACTATCTATTAAAATTTTTGTAGTGATAAAAAAATTAAAAATTAAAATCTAGAATCTAATTCCATAAATCTGTTTAAAATCGTTTATAAATACGATTCAATAAAGAAAACTTCGGTCAAGACATAAGGACACACACATTGTGGAAATCACCAAACTGCTTTACAAGACAAGCCCTCATTAGGAATCTTCAAAGCCAATAGAAAAGAGGAAGACCACAGAACACATCACGTCGAGAAATGGAGACAGACATGAGAAGAATGAACAACAATTGAATAGAACTGGAAAAGAGGGCCCAAAAACAGAGTAGGTTGTATAATGCTGGTCGGCGGCCGATGCTCCACTAAGGGTAACAGGCGTAATTTAAAAAATTAAAAACATAAATTTGACTTATTTTTGTCTGGCTATAAACAATTAACCCTCAATTTATAAAATGGAGTTGGCATACTTGTAAATCAGAATCAGACCACAAAATAACAGACAATTAGTTACCATAATTAACATCAAAATTTATCCATAACTACCCGAAAGTTCATGAAATGATACATAGTACATACTAATATCTTTATCTACGTTTCTACTTCTAGGACTTTAAAATAATTCTCGATTTTAATCAATTCACATTACATAGTAAGCAATGTACTATGATGACAAATATTTTTGAACAAGACATAAAAATGTATTTTTTAAAAGTCTTTTGATTCAAAGAAGAATGTGTTAAAACACAGCATTTAATGTCTATATATTCAACGTCAAAATTTCAATAAAAAGTTATCTTTATCTCCACTGCTGTTCAATGTGATTTCTTAAAAAGTACCTTTACTACCTCTACTACTATTGGATTTGTATTGACAATTGCATCTCTGTGTGCTGATGTGGTATGGTAACATGAACTGATGTACTTACGTACGAAGTTCTACGTTGCATCTGACTGACTGACTGACTTAAAAAGTAGAATTCTTGCCACGATAATAATTTAGGTACGAATCAATCACATTTGGGTTGTAATCTCATTCGACTCCAAATCTGAACATCCAATTCTCATTGTAAATTATTATTTCTCATACTAATTTGTGAAACTCCCTTTAAACCTTAGCAAGTAGGTGACTATTCTCAAGGTCACTTCGTCATCGTTCACAGGTCATTTATGAATTACAGTTGTATTAAAAATGTTTTCGTTAACAAACAGACAATACTACTTACATGGTATTTCAAGCAGTATATACATAGTGTTTAATTATTAACCAAATAAAGTTTACTTACCTTAATAAATGTAAAAATCCAGATACGATCATTTCAATGATTAAAGCTACACCAATATATTGTGTTTCATTATACTCCGATGGTGCTGTTCGTACAAGTCGACAATAATGTATGCTAATAGCCAAGATGATAAATTCAGCTGAAAAAAGACACAAAACAGTAAACCAGTATTGAAAATCTAAAATTTTTCTAAACATTCAATTGCTTTCTCTAGTACATTTCAAATGAATTGTTTCGATCGATCATGTTCAAAAGAAGTACTTTTGTACATGCTTACGCCTGTCACCCCCAATGGAGTATAGGCACCCGACCAGCATTCTCTAACTCTGTCCTTGGCCTCCCTTTCTAATTATGTTCAATTGTCCGTCATTCTTCTCATGTCTCTCCATTTCTCGGTGTGATGTGTTCCTTAGACATTGAGGATTCCAGATAAGGGCTTGTCCTATGAAACAGTTTAGTGCTTTCCTCAATATGTTTCATATCCATTTCCAACAGTTCTTCCTGATTTATTCCTTCACTGGAATCTGGTTTATTCTTTCCCATAGTAGGTTGTTACTGATGGTGTCTGGCCAATGGGTGCAAAGTAATTTGCATAGACCACTGTTAATAAACACTTGTATCTTCAAGTTTCCGCCCGATACAGTGGAACTGTCTTGACCCTAGTATTGAAAATTCTGACTTTGGTGTTTGTCGACAGTTTTGAGTTCTAGATGTTCAACAGTAGAAATGCAGCCATTGTTTTTCCGATCCGCACCTACTTTGGTACATACTTCTAACTTAATCAAAGCATCTTTTGTAACTGGCGTATGAGTAAACAGCTACAAAAACAACCCAGTAAAAGACAATAAGGAAATATAAGTTGATCTGTTCTGAAGCATGTAGTTAATCAAATATGTATAAGGTCAAAGTTACTCGATAAAAAAGTACATGTCAATATAATGAGCCAATCAGAAGTGGCCATTTAGGAAGGCCATGTGATGATCATCAGTAGTGTCCTGAATAATGAATGAATATAATTGGTTGACAGAGTGGGTATTTCTGCTTATGATACGGGTAGCTAAAATAAACTTTCTCTTCTGCCCTCGCCTCCTCGATCAAAAAGCTCGTTTTTTGGCTATCATCTTCCAATCTCAGACACTGCATATCATCACATATGCGCACATTTACTTTGCATTGTAAAAATATTTATGATATGTAATATGAAACCATATCTTTATATACAATATTTAGAAAGTAAATTTTCATATCATAATTATCTAATATCTCATCATCTCTATTTTTCTCTTTCTAAACTTATCTCACTGAGATGTACTTCTTGAATAACATCTTCGAACCCTAATCTCTCTCCGATTACTTCTGATACTTTTACTACCTCTTCTACTATGACATGTCAATTGACATTCATATCTTTGTGCTAATGAGGTATGGGGCAACTTGAACTGATTTACTTATGTGCTAAGTTCCACGTTGCTGCTGCTGATGATGATGATCTGTCTAATATATTTTTTTGCCTATGTAAATGTCATTCATTTTGAACAACTCATACTAATTAGTGAATCTTCATCAGTTGGACCGTAGGTAATTAGTATTCGAATAAAGATATCTTCGAAGCACTGCCTGTGTATCCTTGAACAATCAAGTAAGCAATGCAGTTATTAGGAGACGAATACTAGGTAGGAAAGGCAAATCAGTAGATGAAGTAGTGAAACTTCATCAGTTGAGAGTGGCTGGGACATGTATTACGTATGCCTAACTACCAACTACCTCTGGTGTAGAAGTAGGCTGAAACAAAGTTAAGGATGACCAACCCAAAACATGGCACACATTCATGAAGTCACTGAGAACTAGAGTGAGCCCCAACTAGGTGTAGACTACTTGGTTGGGGTCTACGAGACTGTACTGTACTGATGGCTATAGATTTCGAATGACATGGGATAAAATTGTCTGCAATGGCTCAGGTGAATCCGTTCTTTGAGTTCTCTCAGATACTAATCTTCTAAATTCCTCATCACCTTTATCTTTCTCTTTCTAAATTTATTTCACTGGATTACACACCTTGAATAATATCTTCGATCACTAATCTTTCCGATTACTGCTAATTCTTCGACTATATCTATCACTATGGGATTTGAATTGACAATTATACCTGTTTGCTAATGTTTTGTGAACTGACGTACGTACGTACGTACAAAATTCTACATTACTGTTGATGATTAATTGAACAGTTCATGCTAACAATAAAAAATAAACTTTTGTACTGAATGAACTATTTTTTGTATAAATACGATGTATAATTCTAACTATTATCCCTTTTTTTTGTTAAAACAAGAACAGAATACAACACAACACAACACAGAATATGAACTTACCTAATTCAACAACTACATCCCATGACATTGCACGACATACTGCAAAAGTAACAATTTCATCTTGAACATTATCATTGAACAATTGATTTTCTTGTACAGTACTAGTTCCATTATGATCAATAGTATTAGTATTATTGATTTTTTTAAAATGAATATAACCTTCTTGTTTCATACTAACAAACGATTCAATAGATTGATCATTTTTCATCAATAAATGATCATTTCGATTCCATGGACTAATAGTGATATAATCTAAATTAATTGCTGTCCATGCAATCATATAAGTGAATGTGATCATAAGAAACATTCCTAAATATTTTAAAATATCTTTATCACGTACATGAACACGATGAGCTTTACGAGATTGAAAACCAGAGAGAACTCTATAGAATTGAATTAAAAAATTAGAAGAAGGAAGGAAGAAGAAATAATATATATCTACAAATGAAGGATTTAAAACAAATTGTATAAGTGTGGTGTGAGCTACTTATAAGTAGTATATGACGTGAGTGTCAACGTGATGTCTGGCAGCAGAAGATGGGGGAAGATCAAGAAAGGAAGAGTTATAAAACAATGGAATTTGTATGAAACGCATGAATAGTGACAATGGATTGATGTTTTGCAACAGGAACAGTCCAGTTCGATATGATGAAATGATATTTTGCAAATGAACGATTTACGATATGGTTTTCCTATTTTACTGAATAACTCTGTAATTTCACTAAATACAATTTGGTTGCCCCACCTGTGTTCTCGTTCACTACGTAAGGGGTTAAAAAAATCTTTGTGTTTTCAACCAAGTACATTGTAGTAAGTATGAACTCTACTTCATTTACTTCAAATCCATATTTAGGACGAGATGGGTGCCAACAGTTCCCAGGTTTCTATTGGTAGTCTAACAATGACACTAGTTCATTATTTCAATGAAACTAAAGAATATCTATAATCATATGCTGACAGTTATTACGTATGATTAGATTCGTGAGGGATTTCTCGAAATCCCAAGGGAAAGCTGAGACCAGCAGAGTTTTTATCCGTGACACATGTGTGGAAGTTACCCACCGAAGAAATTGAATAAGGTTGTAAAATATCATACCGATGCAGTAGTCAAGAGGTTAGACATTCTTTCAGAAAACTGAAGGTAATTGGTTCAGTTCCCGATTTCAGGCTCGTGGATCTGCACTGGTGATGAGCCCCATAAGAAAACGAAACGATCGTCTGGTGCTTTCAAGTTTCTAGTGGTAGGCTGACATTAGTGATTCATAATTTCATAGAAACTCAACAATCTCTATAACAGACAGACAGACAAATACAAAGCAGAACTTCGTACGTAAGTACATCAGTTCAGGTTGCCATGGCCCATCAGCACAGAGACGCAACTGTCAGTTCAAATCCAAGAGTGATAGCAATAATAGAAGTATTAGCAGTAATGGAGAAGATTAGGGAGCGAAGATATGATTCGAGAAGTATAATTCAGTAAGATAAATTTAGAAGGAGAAAGGCAGAGATTATGAGGGATGCAGAAGCTTAGAATTTCATAGAACACAAAGAGTGGATGCACCTGCGCCATTGCGAACGATTCTCAGACATGTCATTCAAGGTATCTAACCATAGTGACTGTCGTCTCGCGGACCCCAACCAGGTAGTCTACATCTACCAACATGACTCAGTCCACTTGTCAGTGACTTCATGGATTTGTGCCATGTTTTGATTTGGCCGCCCCTAACTTTCTTCCAATCTACTCCTACACTACAAAACATAGCTCGTCGCGGCAGTCAGTGGTTAGGCATACGTGTAGTGCCTCCACATTTATTTGCATCCGCTTACATTTAATTTGCTTAAGCCCTTTCGATTAATTTATTTAACCAAGCCATTCGCTTAGCAACAACTTGTATGTACCATTGGTATTTTTTATTATCTGCTTTGTATGAGCTTATACGACTGAGCATTGATTACGCCTACGTGCTTACTCATCCTTTTCGCTTTAATGTTAATCTCGTAATATTCCCATGAACTCACATGATTTGTATCGCTTGCTTTTGACCTTGTCAATCATTCGTCGCTTTTATTCATGTGTGTGCATATCTATTTCGCTTGTCATATGTCTGTCTTATTCTTATCTGACTATATATTCTTAGTCATGCTCTATCTCTTTGAGTTGGCTCTTAGCCTTCTCCAATTCGCTTCTCTGCTATTATTAATTGTGGTGTGCTACAATAAACGTATACGATACTTGGAGTTCATCTTCTGATTTATTAACCGTCAGAGGTCATTTGGATAAGACAATCTGAACGAGCTTATTACGAAACGTACGAACACGCAGTAATCGGCACACTACATACGTAACACATGTTCCAACCACCTCAACTGATGAAGTTTCACTACTTCATCTATTGAATTTGCCATCTCTACCTAGAACTCGTTTCCTAACGACAGCATTGTTTTGTGATAATCTAGAAAACTGAAGCATTTAACTATATAGCTAGTAAGAATTGTATGTAGTTGGAAGATGAGTACATAAACTTATCTTTAGGGAGTTACATGCATCAATACAATTAAAATTGTAATTATAACCAGTATATTCCTATAACATTCAAGCTAAACCAATGGCACGCTTTCATTGGTATAATTGGTCATCATTTTTATTTGTTAATTAAAATGATTTCAATAGTTCCAAATCTTTTTTATGATGGTCATCAAGTGTATGGATTCGAAATTATCGCGCTTTTTTTAAAGCTACGCCCATAACATAACAACGAAGAACACTGTGATTAAACTTACTTTCAGGTGTTAACTTCATCTTCGATAATTAGTAGTTACGTAACATCTATCACCATCCTACTCTTATTTGGAAATTCTTACTTCTTTCTTACTCATCATTTGATGTTAAACATAAACATATATCTTGACCTACTTTCCGAACAATGCCGGTATATATTCACTAATCTGCAAAGATTCATCTCTATATAAGTACAGTCAATGTAACATGCTCCTCCTAAAGAGCAATTAAGTTAGTAACCACAGACAGAAGAGTTAATAACTGATTTCCTCATTGCCTTTTTACTAATTTATATCTGCTTATCATCATTCTCAACATTAATCATGATTCTATATAAAGCATAGAATGTTTACTTTCTAAAAATCAATAATAACCTTGTTGTTTCTAGATTGTAATCACGCATGAATTAAATGAAATTATATTATTATTATTTTGAAATTTCATAAGAAATAGATACCAGTTACACAAAAAATGTAGACCAACGTTCACTTGGAATCCTCAAAGTTAAAAGTGAAGAGGAACACTAAACAACAAACACATTGTGCCAAGAAACGGAGACAAACAGTTGGATAGAACTTAAAAGGAAGGCCTAGGATAGAGAGTAGTCTGAAGAATGCTGTTTGGTGACCTATGCTCCACTAGGTGGGCAAGAGACGTATGTGAGTTAGTTAGTAAGTAAGTAAGTAAGTGAGTAAACAAATAAAAATCAAGTGAAAGAAGGTACTTTTTTACTTTCAAACATGATTATATAACAACCTACCTATAGATTTTTACAATTAATACACCATACATAATTGAAAAACCGATTTCACGAAACCATGGAAGAATAAGGCATGTTATATCACTGACAGGAAAATACATGACCACTATCTGTTAAGAGAATGAAAGTAATAATAATAATAATAAATAAAGGTTAAACGTGTTTAAAAGTATTTACATGAGTTTACAAATTTCATTCAAACCATTTTTGGCAATCACATCATTGCAGTGTATCCTTGAAACACACATCGGATTGGTTTCATCCGATTCTTTCATGGCATGACAATTCGATCAGTCATTATGATGAGAAATAGATATAATAAGTGGAATTTTTTCGTCCAAGTAAATCACCGTAAATCATGATCTTGGCAGTAATAGACGTAGTAAACTAGACACTATAATTTTTTAAATTAGAGTTATGGAGACTAGAGTTTGTTGCACCTGCACTCCTGCACCTTGTAGGATTCGAACCCGGGACCTTCGGCCTTACGCACGAACGTCCAACCTCTGGATCACTGGGCCGGCATACGGCGGTGTTAATGTCTAACTCTGATCAATCAATCCCATACCAGGACGAAACGGCCGTCTTTCAGTGCTCCTAGGTTTCGAATGTTGGTCTAACAACAATTAATGATTGATGATATCAATGTGCAGTAAAAACTATGACATTTATATTTTGTTTTTGAATTTTCCTATTGATATTTGCAACTGTAATTGATCACTATCTTTAGGTATCTTGTTCGGATTGTGTCGATGCTGTCATTGAGTCACCCAGAACCGCTTATTTCAGACGAACCCCACTTAGCTACTGAGTTCAGATAAGACGAAGCTGGAAGCTACCGTCCATCTCCGCTAAAAATGCTTGTAACTCTAGCTCCAGCTCTTCTAGGGTTACTGTTGACCATGAGGTTAGCAATCTCATACAGTAAAAAACAACCTGGCGTGAGGAGTGACATTTTTAGGGTCAATCTCTTCGAACCCCTACCTTCCTTGCAGGAAAGCAGCATCGCTGAAGATGCTGGTTGTCCGAGGGAAACACCTTACTGCTGTCATATCCTTCTACAGTCGGCAGCAGTACGACTTCTCCCTCAAACCTTGAGTTGCTGCTTTTAATCTCACTGTTCTTCAATCGACCTGCCTAGCAAGGTAGAACCTTCAGGAACATATATTCCAGCCAATATGGCTCAGTTGGGTCATCACGATAGGCAAGCCTGATCACTATGTCAAAGTAGCAGTATGCAGCAGTAGTATGAAATTAACCTGTAAACCAACTTAACAAAATTACTCTTTTGCTAATAAGGAGTAAATTTATTCAAAACAGTATGAAATAATGTTGTTGATTATCATAATTGTCAAATGATAGAAAATTTGCCTATTAAATAAAAAAACTTACTGTTGAATAGAGAAGAATTGCACCTACAAGCATTATTTCCATTAGTACAAGATTAGCACTTTTAACTACCTGAAAATTAATCAGACAATACAGATGTAAAATAAATAATGATCGACGATAATCTGTTGTTTTTTTTTCAAATTTTCATAATAATAATCAGTAATAATTATTAACAATATAAGTTGGAGAGAACAAACCAGATTCTAGTGGGGGGGGGAAGAAATCAGGAAGAAGCGATGGAAGTAGATAGGACACAGATTGCGGAAAGCACCGAACTGCCAGCGGAGAAGAGGAAGACAAAACAACACATTATGTCGAGAAATGGAGACAGACATGAAAAGAATAGACAATAAATGGACAGAATTGGAAAGCGAAGCCCAGGACAGTGTAGGTTGGAGAATGCTTTATTGGGGGTAACAAGTGCGAGTAAGTAAACAAGTAACGATATCAATTGCTGAATTAAAGCACTAGGGATTACATTTAAAATAATTGAATGAACTGTGAGAAATATTTGTATCAACAATGGATATGAGCTGAAACTCTGTTCAACTCTGATATCTGTAGAACAACAGTAAATGGAAAATGTGATTGATCATGGAGAGTGGACAGACAGGCACTGACTATTGAATATGTGGTTTTATTTACTCTTATTGATTTTTTTACTCCAAACTCACTGAAATGTGGCTGCTTTTAATCGTCTAAAATAAAATATTGTATCTGGCTTCCTCATCTGTATTATAGTAAACCAGAATAGCCAGTGAAAATCAATAAGGCAGTCCGATCACCAACATTGAAGAACAGCGAACCAGGTGAGTGGAGCACTTTGAAGAACTCTTGAATTGACCAACCTCACTGAACCCACCCAACATCGAAGCAGCACCAATGGAACTCCTAATTAATATTGTCCCACCAATAACTGAAGAAATCAACATGGCCATCAGACGAATGAGGAGTGACGAAGCAGTAGGACCAGACAGCATACCAGGAGAGGCATGAAAGTGGAAAAGATACTCGACGCTCTGTTCAGCAAGATTTTGGAAGGACAACAAGTATCGAGAGGATGTTAGAAAGTACACCTGATCAAGATACCGAAGAAAGTATATGTCAGAAAGTGTGAAAACTACAGAGGCATCACTCTTCTCTCAGTACCAGTAAATGTCTTCAACACAGTGCTGTTGAACATAATGAAAGGTTGAATACACTTCCAAATTCCAGAACAGCATATTGGATTTCGTAATGATCGATCATGAATCAATCAAATCGCATGCGATATTATAGATCATTGTGGAATAATCAAATGAATGGAATTCACCAATGTATATTAACTTCATTGACTACGAGAAAGCATTCGATAGCCTGGACATAATGATATTATGGAGGCTGCTTCGGCATTACAGAGTCATAAGAAGATAGTCAACAGATGGTGGAGAAAATCTGTAGCTCAGTTGGATAAATACGTTGGGTTTTATAAACACCTCTATGTTTTAAATGATGATGACTATACATTAGAATTGTTTTGACATTTGATTTGAAAAATAGGATTTCTGGTGTTGGTTGTTGGACATTTGTTTGAATTTCAGATGTACTTCAACTGCAGAAATGGTAACCTCGCTTTTCTAAACCATTTCCTTACATCTACATCAGGTCTATCTTATTTATCAATGATTCTGTCCACTGAAACCCATACTTCCCCTCAGATTTTCACTTCTTCATAATTCAGTCGACGACAAGGGAAAAGTGAAAAGGTGAGAGTAAGCAAACTTGCCTGACATCGGTCTTCACTTGGAACAAGTCTTTGAGCTATCCACCATGCACATTTTTGTAGTAAAACGCATCATAAGGATTCCGTATAATGCTAATTATCATCTCATATAAATAACAGTGCCTAAGAAGCCTCCATAGAGTCATTCTGTCCACTCTCACATCAAATGCTTTATCCTGATCAAGAAAGTCGATATAGAATGGTGTATTTCCATTCAGTCGATCCATACACAATGATCTATGGTGTCACGTACTAATTGATCGATTACTTACTTACTTACGCCTGTTACCCCCAATCGAGCATAGGCCACACACCAGTTTTCTCCAACCAACTCTGTCCTGGGCTTCCCTCTCCAGTTCTGTCCAATGTTTATTCATTCCTCTGATATTTTTCTCTATTTCTCGGCGTACTATGTTCCTTGGGCCTTCCTCTTTTCCTTTTGCCTTGAGGGTTCCATGTCAGGGCTTGTCTCGTGACACAGTTAGGTTCTTTCCGCAATGTATGTGTCCTATCCACTAACTCCACCACTTCTTCCTGATTTCCTCTTCCACTGGAATCTGGTTTGTTTTCTCCCACAATACGTTGTTGCTGATGGTGTCTGGTCAACGAATACGAAGTATTTTCCGTACACAACTGTTAATAAATACTTGTGTCTTCTGAATGGTGGCTTTGGTAGTTCTCCATGATTCCGCTCCATACAGTAGAACTGTCTTCACATTTGTATTGAAAATCGTGATTTTGGTTTTTGTTGAAAGTTGTTTGGAGTTCCAGATATTTTTCAACTGTATAAATGCAGCCCTTGCTTTGCCAATATGCGCCCTCACATCCGCATCAGATCCACCTTGATTGTCGATGATGCTGCCCAGATATGTAAAGGTGTTGACGTCCTCCAAGGCATCTCCATCCGGAGTGATTTGGTTGGTGCATGTTGTGTTGTATCGGAGAATTTTGCTTTTTCCTTTATGTATGTTGAGACCTACTGCTGCAGAGGCTGCTACTACACTGGTCGTCTTCTCTTGCATTTGTTGTTGAGTGTGCGATAGAAGAGCCAGTTCATCTGCGAAGTCCAGATCTTGTGGCTGCATCCTAGCTGTTCAGTGAATACCGTGCTTACCTCCAGATGTTGAAGTCTTCATAATCCAGTCGATGACCAGGAGAAAGAGAAAGGTTGAGACTAAGTAACCTTGCCTGAAACCGGTCTTCACCTCGAAACAGTCTATTAGCTGTCCTTCGTGTACGATTTTGCAGTTGAATCCATCATAAGAATTCCGTATGATGTTAACTATCTTTTCAGGCACACCGTAGTGTTGAAGAAGCCTCCACAGTGTTTTCTTCCTATCCACGCTATCGAATGCCTTCTAGTAGCCGATTGATCCCTACCAAATCCAACCTACTGATCTCGAAATTGTAGTAGTATATGTATAATCCAAATGCTGAAAATCTATTACATATATATTATTATATATCGATAGTACATCATTCTAAAATAAAACAGTTCAATAACAATAACAATCATTACCTAGGAAAAGAACAACTTACTCTTGCTCTACGTAATTTAAACATGCCTATACCAAATAATAAACAAATTGTTATACAGAATGTTTGAAATGCCAATGGAATTGAACGAAGTAAATTATAATCTAATTGTACATGACATAATTTATTGGTATGACATTTGTAACAACCAATTGGACATGAACGACAATAAAATTTCGGTAAATCCATTTCATCATTCTTCATTAAAGCTGTTTGTAGTTTAGATTCAATTAATGGAGCTGGATAACCCTGGAAAAAAGAAAAGAGGAAAAAACACTGAGTGAGAGAGAGAGATTGGTTCATGATTTCAGTGTAAAACAACAACAATCTTCATAACTAACTCTATGATGATGGAAAATCGTTCATTGTGGTTATACTAGTGACTAACTAGCTTTATGAGGAAATTCTTCGGAGTTCTAGTGTGGAGTCAGTTGCAACGTAGAACTTCGTACGTATGTAAATAGGTTCATGTTGCCATACCACATTAGCACAGAGACGCAAATGTCAAATCAAATCCCGTAGTGATAAAGATAGTAGAGGTATTAATGGTAATGAAAAAGACTAGAGTTCGAAGATATTATTGAAGAAGTATAATTCAGTGAGATAAGCTTAGAAAGACAAAGCTAGAGGTGCTGACGAATCCAGAAGATTAGGATTTGAGAGAGCTCAAAGAGTGGATGCACTTGCGCCATTGCAAACGATTTTGAGCCATGTCATTCAAGGTCTCTAACCATTGGTGACTTTCGTCTCGCGGACCCCAACCAGGTAGCCTGCATCTACCAACATGACTCAGTCCACTTGTCAGTGACTTCATGGATTTGTGCCATGTTTTGGTCTGGCCGCCCCTAACTTTCTTCCAACCTACTCCTACACTGCAAAACATAGCTCGCCGAGGCAGTCAGTGGTTAGGCATACGTAACACATGTCCCAACCACCTCTAGTGTGGAGAGTTCGCCTGTGTAGGGTGATGACAATGAGTAAGGTAGTGCAATACCTAGCTAGGATTGATGGCTCAATGGTTAAGAGGTTAAATGCTCGTGTAAGAGACCGATGCTCCTGGGATTCGATCCTAGGGTGAGTAGGATATGTATGGATGAGCACTGTTGATGAGTTCCATACTAGAGCAAAACGGCCATCAAGTGATTTTAGGTTTCCGAAAATAGTCTAACAATGATAAATTCATGATTTGAATGTAGAAAGAATTTCGTTAGTAATAATGTTCTGTTACTTGAGTGAAACTGTTTACTTATGAAGCTTTATTCAGTTATACATTTATTATTAGCATAAATCACTCACTCAGTGGACAAGTCGATCACCACTCCAAAGGTGGTTCCAGGTGCGCCAAAAGGGCGAGCCACAAACACTGATAAAGAAGACGGCTGTACGGCGATCAGAAAGACTGAGAGAGCGACTTGTTAAAGGAGGGACGAGTGTGGTGTGTGTTACTTTTACGAACGATATAAGTAGTATAAGAAGGGACGTGAAAGAAGTCTCACGGTCAGAAGAGGAAAACGCAAAGCAAATGGAGCAAAAGCAAGAAGTAAATGGAGTACCAACAAGAAGGAAAGGAAGCAACAACAGGGATGGAAGAATGATGGAGCGTTGGAAGTCATGACTCAAAGATGGTGTGCAAATAGAGTGTTCAATGTAATGTTTTCGTTTTTAATTGACTCAGAGTGTAAATTTGCATAATACAATCTTCAACATCTGCCTCATTCTTCTCAATAGTACACTTCAAAGAATGAGTAGCAGAATTTTTTGATCATTACATGCAGAAATATTGATGAAGTCATGAAGAAACTGAAGTGAGCCATGTTAGTAGGTGCAGACTGACTGATTAGGGTCCGAAAGACAATCATAATCGTTTGCTAGAGGCTTTGAATTAAATGATTCAAAACTGTTTACAATGGCGCATGTGCATACATTCCTCGTCTTCTCTCATGACCTCATCAGCTCAGAATCTTTTCTTATCTCTTTTTAAATTTATTTAGCTGTGATATACTTTTTGAGTAATATCTTCGAACCCTAATTTCTCCGATTACTGCCAATACTTCTGCTACCTCTGCTACTATGGGATTTGAATTGACCAATCGATGACTCCGTGCTAATGTGTTATGGCAATGTCAACTTGAAATGATGTATGTATCTACGAAGCTCTACATTGTCACGGACTGACTGACTGACTTACAGAAATGTAACATCTGACACAGTCGTTTTTTAGTTTAAATATGTAAATTTTATTTTTAAATGAAAATGATGTTGAGATAAATTAAGTAAGCTTTTTAACAAACAAACCAGATAGCAGAAAAAAGGACACAGAATTTTTTTAAAAAGTGAATTAAACTCGAATTAGGATTTACTATGGTGTGTACTATAATTATAACGGAGCTTTCAAGTAATATGAAGAAGATGTGCAGTAGAGTGTCATCCTGTAGACACTTTATGGCTGTGAAACATGGCTAGTAAGAGTGGTAGATAATCGTAGACCACTAGTTTTCGACCATATGTGTCTTCGTACATCTCAGGAACTCCAAGTAAGCAATTCTCTTGTTAGGAAACGGGTACGAGGTAGGGATGGTAGGTCAATAGATGAAGTAGTGAAACTTCATCAGTTGAGGTAGTTGGGATATGTGTTACGTATTTCTAATCACCAACTGCCTCGATGAGCGATGTTTTATGGTATAGGAGTAGGCTGGAAGAAAGCTAGGAAGTCACTCACAAGTGATTGAGTTATCTTGGTAGATGTAGACTACCTGGTTGGGGTCCGCGAGATGATAATAGTCGACGGTTAGAGACCTTGAACGACATGCATCAAAATCGCTTGCAATGGGGCAGGTGCATCCATTCCTTGTGTTCCCTGACATTCTAATCTTTTGAATTCCTCACCACCTTTACCTTTTTCTTTTTAAGTTTATTTCCCTAGATTCTGCTTCTTGAATAATATCTCCGAACACTAATCTCTCTGATTATTGCTAATACTTTTACTACCTCTACTAACTACCATAGGATTTGAATTGACAATTTGATGTCTATGCGCTAATGTGGTATGGCAACTTGAACGTACGAAGTTCTACGTTGTTACTGATGAATTACTGTAACAGAATTGAAAAACAAATCATATTTTAACTTAAATATTCAACTGTGTTATCTAATTAGCTTTTTAAACTTGATATTGTCGCAGAAACTTGAAATATCTTGGGACAAGTCTATAAGGGTCCCAGAGACGTCAAAAAGTGATTCATTCAATCAGCATTAAATAGAGCTTCTCAGAAACATTTGAAAACTGTGGAATCACGTGTCACAATCCTGATTGGATATTTAGCTGTATTGCTACTATATTAATCATGGTTTTCGAGCCTTCCAGAGGCACAAAGTCATGTGTACCTCTATCGATACCCTCATGTATCTATACACAAACTAATCTTTTATTAAAAAGTGTTCTTCTCGTGCCTTTACTCTTGTGCTGAAAAGCTGCAGTGTAAATTTAGTCTGAAATCATTAGAAGAAGAGGATAGGACTTATCAAGTATTATGTTTCTCCACAGTTCTTATACACGTACAAGTTTATCATTTAAATCAACGTGTAGTATAACAGTGGATCGATCTTTTCAAAAAGAAAAACAACTCGAAGTGATGTACACATAAAAATTTTGAACTTCATGTTCTCAATAGATTATGATAGTTTTACTGAAATCAGATTCAAAAATAAAAACTCAAATCTCATTTCTTTTATGTTGTTGTTATTATTGTTTGACAATGAAATTTTTTTTAAAAATTAAGTTCGTCAACATAAATTAGAAATCTAGGTAATGTAAATGTAATAATTACCAGAAGATAGGCGACTAGTTGGGATAAACTGTGTACACTATTCCATAATACATCTGTAGTGAAGGAGAACACAGGTGAGGGTAACCGAATTGTATTTAACGAAAATTACAGAGTTACTCAGTAAACTAGGAAAACCATATCATAAACGGTCAATTTGCAAATCTTCAATCCATCATCAATCCATTGTCTGACAGTTCACTATTCATGCGTTTCATACAAATTCCATTGTGTTCCCACTCTTTTGTTTTCTTGATCTTTCCCCATATTCTGCTGCCAGACATTACGTTTACACTTGCGTCATATACCACTTATAAGTAGCGCGCACCACACATCCATTTGCTAAACCGCCATAAATCCATATCTGACACTTCTCGCTTCGGTCATATCTTCAAGTCAGTCAGTCAGTCAGTTACAACGTCAAACTACATAAGTACGTACGTACATTAGTCCAAGTTGCCATTTTAACATTAGCCCGGAGACACAATTGTCAGTTCAAATCCCATAGTAGTTAATAGATGGAGAAGATTAGAATTTGAAGAAATTATTCAAGAAATGCAATTCAGTAAAACAAATTTAGAAAGAGAAAGAGTGACATGATCAGGAATTCAAAAGATTATAATTTAGGAGAAGACAAAGAACGGATGCATCTGCGCCATTGCAAACAATTTTGAACCATGTAATTCAAGTTCTCCGACTATCGGTTACTATCATCTCGTCGACCCCAACCTGGAAGTCTACACCTACTAACGTGGCTCAGTGTAGTTTTCAGTGATTTCATTGATTTATGCCATGTTTCGGTCTGGTAGTGCCTAGCTTTCTTCCAGTGATTTATTGCTTAGTCAGTAGATGAATTTATCGAAGAAACTGAGCTGATAAAAATTTCTAGTCATCTATATTGAAAGTGTACAAAACCTGAATCAGATTATATAGTTTTTTGATAATTGTACATTTTAACTACATTTAGCCGAACGGTTATATATATATAGACAAGTAGCAATCTGTTGCGAAGTTAAAAGTGAGTTATTACGATGTACAGTATACTTTACTCCTTATCCTTCTGACTGCGTATATATAAAAGAAAACATATTTTCTATGGGGTAATGCTTACTGGGCAGGATGGATTACTTGTAAAGGCGTGGACAGGGCAACACTATGGAGGCTTCTTCCTCATTACGATATTACCTTAGACGATAAACAACATCATCTGGAATTCTTACGATGGACTATACTTCAAAATGTTAATGCCCAGTATCTCACTTTTGTCGAACTCTTCAAAAGCTGACGACACTACTCTATATATCCAACCTTATGACTTAATTCAAAAGACAGTGGTGACCCTACAGGTGACGATAGTGTTCATCCTGAAAGAATTAACAATATCCTAAAGATTACAGATAGATATTTTCTTTGCTCACTAGTGAC